GCACTTCGCGCCGTCCGCGCACGCGGACAAGATCGCGTGGCCGATGGGGCTCACGCTCTCGCCGCACGTGGACGGCAAGATGTCGATGCCGCTCGTGCTGTCGCAGGCCTGAGCCTGAGCTGTCGCGTCGCGCGGGTCTACGTCTACATCTACGCCTTTGCATTTGCACCGCTCAAGCCTGATGTCGGCGTTGCTCAGGCCTGATGATGTTGGCGTTGCTCAGGCCTGATGATGTCGGCGTCGCGTGTTGTTGTCGCGTGGTCGGATGGTTAGATTGCATTTCTTACACGGACTCCGCCTCGGATCGGTCGTTTTCTTTCTTTCTTTCTTGTTTGCCTAGTGTCTAGTGTAGGAATTGTAGATGCCGTATACGTAGTAGAGTGCCGATAGTAGACTCCCGACTTGACTTGACCTCTCGTATCGTACATATCACCCCACTCGTTGAATAGCAAGTAGCAAATGTGTTGGCTGGCATCGCAAGTTCAAGTTGTTTGATTGCTTCTGTCCGAGTCTGAGTATACCTCTGAGATAAGGCCGCGCTTTATGTTTTGTGTTCAGAGCGATCGATGGGAGTTCGGGTGGCGATCGATGTGCTAGTCACCGTGTATTTGTTGTAAGATATGAGAAGCTCTAATACAGGTATACGTATATGCGCGCATATACTCACCTCTAAGCTCCCTCCTCTTCCAACAGTCTGGCGAACCGTATCATGTCCTAGCACATCGCACTACCACTAGCCTTAGGCAGCACTCACACCTAGCCCGATCCTCGTACCACATACCCGCCCAAACACCAGCCTTCACCTTCCGCGTCAGCCCCAAACCCAAAACGAACACATTCTCCATAACGCGTTACACGAACACCATGCAGAACAAGTAGAGAATTCCCTATCGCAATCGGCTCACGGCCCTCGCTGCAGTGGAGAAAGCGTACAATCGTACCACCACCACCACCACCACCTCCGCCGCCGCCGCCGCCGGCCCAGCCACATCGCGCGCACATGCCGTCAAACTCCCAAAACCGGCCCATTCCACAGAACACAAAAAAAAAATAGAACGCAGGACGCAAACGTGTCCCGCACGTCTCCATACCAGAGCTAGAGCCAGAGCCAGAGCCAGAGCCAGCGTCAGAGCCAGCGTCAGAGCTAGAGCCTACCTGACACGACACCGAAAGGCAAACTGGCATGCCGCACGTAAGGCAATCGCCGTCCGTCAACGTCCCCGACAGCCCGCCGCCCATAATATGCCTCACCCGCGGCCGCTGGGAGCCGGGTAAGGCATATATACATACATATGCGAGTCGTGGACGCCAGGGTCGTTATACAATGCACTGACAGTTACACTTACGCTTATGCTTACACTTTAGGAAAACAGCATGGCGCATTCCAGTCCAATTACGCCTCCTGGGCATGATATCTGGGCATGGTGCGATACAGCTCGGCGTACACATTGCATCCCGAAACCAAATCGGACGACGACTTACGGAAAACACAATAACGACCCTACCAGTACCACCGACACGCACGGCGCTGTACTCGTACACCCAACACGATCTAGCCGAGCCCAGTCGACAATGCATTGCATCGCGCATGCCGTACATATACTCACTGTTGGTCGCTGTGCATGCGGAGCGCGACGCCCCCGGAGCGCCCGCTCATAAACCCGGGGCGCACGCGCGTCCAGGGATCCAGAGTCTGTCTCTAACAATAACATAACAGCAACATAACGAGAGCCAATTTCAAAGATCAGCTTCAGCGCGGCGGAGAGGTGCGTACCTTGCCTTGCATGCCATGCACACCGGCGATGATGCCAGCCCCAGTCGCCCCGGATCGATAATGATAATAATAATATATGGCTGGACATGGAAAACAGGATCTGTCTGATCCCAATAATCCATATCGCTTAACGGCCAGATAATGCTTGCGCGCCAGCCGCCCGGGCGGCGAGATCCCGAGGCTGAGCGCTGGGGACCAGGGCCGCGGCGGAAACAGGGCCCGATATCGAGATACCTAAGACCACCGTGATCGTCGACGTCGTGCATCTCGCAAGCGGCCGAGGCAATCTGTGACCCGCGCAAACCCGGACGCCAGGTCCCAGCGCCGGCAACATCGCATCAGGGGCGCTCGTTGCCATATGCGGCATCCGAGGACATCGTAGCGCCTGCGCCTCGATTGCGATGTCCCTTTAGCAAACCCAGCCCAATTGGCAGAAGTGTTAGTCCTTTTTCTTTCCATTGTCTGCGTGTGTTCTGTGTTCCCTGCACTGTCAGTACGACATGGCTTCAGAAGCGTACCTATATGCAAGGGGATCCAGTTTCGCCGGACTTGTAGGCCTGCGCTATGAAGTCATGGTTTTCGTCAAGACAGGCGCTGCTGCATATAGCATGCGCCTGATATGATACCAATTTACGCGTCCTCGGCGCGTGCGTGTCCCTGCAGAGATCATGACGGACCACGATGTAATAGCTGCTTTGTCGCCTTAGTATGCGACCAGCCCGCCTCCTCCGGGCCCGCTGCGAAGGGAGGCATCAGTAAGCAGCGCAGCGAGCCGCGATGGGAGATGCCAGTGGGACGACGTGCGCGGCCAATCACCGTTTTACGCATAGTCGTCCAACACGCAGCACAGCACGTTCGCAGGCACGCGTGCGCATAAGAACTCCCGGCCGGGCGCGCAGATTCCACCGAATACCGCACCTAGACCCTGCCTGCATACCATGTCTGAAGCCAAAGCATACCACATCGTCGCCGTGCCCCCCAACGAGTGGGGTGTGTATCCTCTTCACGATCCATCCTATAGTGAGTGGGGCTAACATGTTTGTTGTCTCGCAGGCCACATGCGCCCCATCATCGCGTTCGTCGCGCGCCTGCTCGCACTCGACGCGCACATCACCGCCGTGCTCATCATCGCGGAGGCCGCGGTGTCAAAAGCGACGGCGGAGCTCTCGAAGGAGCTCTCCAGCGAGGGCATCGAGGCCGCGCACGTCCGCGTCAAGATCGTCTCCGCGCCCATCGCGATGTTCTGGCCCGCAGACAGCTACATGGACGCGCTCAAGAAGGTCTACGACGAGGTCATCGCGGAGAAGGAGCCCGACCTCGCGCTGCTTGAGGTCAGTTGCTCTTCCATCCAAGCGGTAAAGAGCGGAATGAGCTCACGCATATGCGCGCGTTGTGCAGTCCATGATCCACCCCTTCTTCACCTACGTCCGCCAGGTCGCGACCAAGCCCGTCAAGATCGCGGGCTGGCTCCCCGTCGCGCTGCCCTCGTTCAGCAGCATGGCGCCCATCCGCTACATCCGCGACGACCCCGACGCGTACGTGAAGCAGGTGCAGGAGATCATGCAGACCGAGGGCCTCGACTACATGTCTGCGAACAGCAAGGTCCGCGCATCCCCTTCTGTATCCTTTGACGTCGTTAGCTCACTGAGTACAACACGACCAGGCATACCTCTCGCATGTGAACGGCAGGCGCATCCAAATCCCGGGCTTCCCAGAGATGTCCGACTACGAGGGCTTCCCGCAGGAGGTACGCTCTCCTCCCCCTCACCTCCCATTGCATCCACCCCACTAACCCCACCTCACAGCCACCCGTCCTCCTCCCCGTCGCGATGGTCGTCGACTGGGTCTTCGGTATCCGCGACGCCGACATCCTCGTCACGAGCACCGCGCACGCGCTCGAGCGCCTGGGGCTCGCCGAGTTCTCCAAGTGGCTGAAGAAGCAGCCCAAGGCGGCGGACGTGCTCGCGGTCGGCCCGCTCACGTCGACGCGCACGCCCGAGGTCGTGCGCAAGGAGCAGGAGCAGGCGGACGCGACGGGCCTCACGGCCTACCTCGACCGCCACCTCGCGGCGAAGGGCGAGAAGTCGGTGCTCTACGTGCGTCCCTCCTCCCTCCTCCCCTCCGCTCGCCCATAGCTGATGACGCCTTGGCGTGCAGATCGGCTTCGGCTCGGTGCTCCTGCCCGCCGACATCGAGATGCTGTACGCGGTCCTGCGCGTGCTCATCACGCTCGACGTGCCCTTCGTGATGGTGATGAGCGAGGCCGCGCAGGGCGCACTCCCCGCGGACCTCGCCGCGGCGGGCAAAGCGCGCGAGCGCGCATACTTCACCGCGTGGGCGCCGCAGCAGTGGACGCTCGCGCACGCGGCGGTCGGGTGGTTCCTCTCGCACTGCGGGATCAACGGGACGCTCGAGAGCCTGTGCCTGCGCGTGCCGATGCTCTGCTGGCCGCTGTTCGCGGACCAGCCCGTGCTGTCGATCCTCGTGTCGCAGGTGTACGGGTGCGGGTACGAGCTCGGCGAGGTGCGCTGTGGGTTCGGGCTCGAGTACCGCGCGAGCACGGATCGCAAGCCGACGGGCACGATTGAGGACATCACGAAGGAGGCGACGGAGGTGATCACGAAGGCGTTCTTCAACAAGGAGGAGCGCGCGAAGATCGACAGGAATGTGGATAAGATGGCGGACACGCTCAATGCGGCGTGGAATGAGGGCGGGGAGGCGCGCGAGGATGCGCTGGCGCTGCTCAAGTTCATGAAGCAGTAGTGAGAGCTCGGGGCGTCGGGTCGCGGACTTGTATGGTTGCATCTGGATAGCATAGACGAGCAATTTGTTGTACACATGATAATTTAATGTAGTCGATTATGGTTCATGGAGCTGAGCAAAGAGGATTCCTGTTGAGGTATGCTCGTCGTTCGACTGAGGCACCTCTCATCAATGTAGTATATAATTATCAAATAATATCGGCCTGGTGGTCTAGTAGTATGATTCCTTCTTAGGGTTCGAACATTCTTCGAAGTATTTGGAGGAGGTCCCGGGTTCAATTCCCGGCGAGGCCCGTGCGCGTACTCTTTAGGGCATACCTTTTTTTCATTGTGGACTACACCCCGGCAACTGTTCATACAGATCTATAACAACAATATCTCACTTCAAGAACCTCTGGCTGACTACTGTGTCACAATGCTCAGTCTGTATACATCTCAGGTCTCACATATCACAATTTTTACCATCGGATATGGTGTAATGGCTAACATTACCGCCTCTCAGTCAAAGGCTCGTGCTGCGCGGTAGCTCGGGGTTCGATTCCCCGTATCCGAATCAAAGTGTGCTTGTATCTTTTTTATCAACATATGCTATGCTTGGGTCAGGCCTTAGATACACGGTGAAGAAGATATTTCTCTTTGTATTTTTTGGAACCATACAAGGTGTTTGCAAATCTCATTTTATGCTTGTTGAGAAGGCCGTGCTAATTGTGAGCAAGAGGCTTGCTCGAGGCCAGGTCACTACAAGTCCATGACATCATAATGGCCTGGTGGTCTAGTAGTATGATTCCTTCTTAGGGTCTTTCCAAACGGAAAGGTGATTTGGAGGAGGTCCCGGGTTCAATTCCCGGCCAGGCCCGCTCAGTTAGGTAGCACCTGCCTCAGTATTTTGCCCCATTCTTCCAACAGTTTTATTGATGGTGTTTACATCATAGGTCCTTCCCGCACAAGGTGGGCAATACTCGAATCTCAGTACTTTGCGAGATCCCTCTCCTGCTCCAGGATAGAAACAGTCTCAGGGAACCGCGGGGTGATCTTGCATTCAAACAGAATCGGTCGCCTGGTCGCAAACACAACGGCTGATAAGTAGGCACGCAAGAAATAGCAGACCAAAACGTACGCCACCAAGCCGTTGTCAATGCACCCCTCGACATCAAAGGGCAGCAGAGCTCCCTTCTCATCGACACCCTGCTCGATATTGACAGCCCAAAGCATCATTGCGATGTTCATGAACAGCGCGTTGTTCGCGAAATGTCTGCCGACGCAGATCCGCCGGCCAAATCCATACGAGACATGGCCGTCCTCCTTTGCATCGACAGGACCAGGCACGACCTGTCCATCAGCATTGAGGTAGCGCGATGGGTTGTACTCTGCTGCATCTGCTCCGTAAACTTCGGGTTCGCGATTGAGATGCCAGACGTTCGGGATGACGACAGACCCCACCGGGATGAAATACCCATCGTACCAGTCGTCTTTTGTAGACCGGTACGGGACGCCTACCCGATTGACTGGCTGCCATCGAAGAGCCTCCTTGACCATGGCACGGACGTATGGCAGATGCTCTAAGTCGGCAAAGGTAGGGAGACGGGAGCGCCCGACGACTGCACCCACCTCCGCCTGACCACGGCGTTGTGTCTCGGGATACGCGACCATGGCGAGCATCCACCACGCCATAACACCCGACGTGGTCTCGGCACCACCAGCACTAATTTTTGAGTGAGTAGAACATTGGCAAGTATGGTGATTCCCGGCAGGAAGACGCACTACACGGTTGCAGAGAGCCAGGCATTCTCCCGCTCTGATAGACCGTTCCTCCACGATTCCTCGATAAGCATCGCCGCAAGACTCAGGCGGTCGTCGCCAGCCGCCTAGAACGTCTATGAGACCAATGCAAGAAGTTACCCCAACTGCGAGCGTAGAGCACATACATGGCGGTCGCGCACATCGTTGAAGAGCTCCTCAAACGCGGCCGAGTCGCGAGTGAACCAAGCCAAAGCCTCACGTTTCCAAGACGCGAAGCTGGATTGTACACTCAGGCCGTGAATGCCCATTCGACATCTGAAGCAAGCAGAGGTAGCTTACCGGCTCGGTATATGCCTCAGCCACGGAATCAATTCAACGAGGTGGGCTCCAGGAGCGGCAGCGCGCATGAGGCGAGCCACGCAGTTGTTGATCCTTTTTACTGCCGGGTCGTTCTCTGACTTGATAGGCGGCGTGTCGTAGACCATCGACATTGATGTCGACGCCGATGCGCGGCGCAAATGTGCGTCCCAGCTCTCCGGGTGGGCCAGGATGTCAGACACAAGCGTGAGTGATTCGCCGTACTGTGCCGGTTGAAACCTGGCAACGGCGCTCTTGGTCATGCCTTCGTGTGTCGCTTTGCGCATTCTCCGCCAGCTAAAGGGAGAGAATTTTAGCATGGAGTCCAAGGAAGGTTGAGAGAAAACAGCTACATCTCATTGTATGGCATCAAGACCAGGAACAGGCCTCCTGTCATGAAGTCGGAAGCGACGATATTTCGAGGCCGGTCGGAGTACTTCACGGCGCGGCGGTCGAGGAGATCTATGGCTACTTTCTGGGAATTGATGACAATGAGGGGTTGGCCAACGACATTGAGATAGATGAGGGGTCCTGGTAACGAAGTCAGCGTCGATCTTGATCTTTCGAAGGCACGTACCATACTCCTGACCCCACCGCTTGAAAATATTCCAAGGTTCTTGTCCAAGTTGGAAGACGTTCCCGAAAAGAGGTATGCCCTTGGGTCCGGGAGGAATACTGCGCCAAGGGCTTTGAGCATATCGCACGATGCCAAAGGTGGCGACTGCTAGAATTGACAAAACGAAAGGTGTGTTCCGGAGAGCTTCGAGCGAGGGAAGAACTTGATCCATGGCAGGTATGCGGGACTGGGCTGCTCAGCCAAGTCTTGAGAGCAGGACAATCGTCACGGTGAGAAGGACGGTCCAGGATCCACGGATAAGCTCTGGGGGGTTTCGTGACGACATGGAGCACGCGCCTCTGCCAATGCAACTGGAATGACATGACCGAGGAGACCACCGTAAGCACGCGCTCGAATATCCTTTCTGGGGAACAAGGTACACCCCATGACCCTTCTACGAAAGGTTCCGAGCGCTGAATGGATTCTGATGTGTAGGGACACTCCAAAAAACACTTCTTTGTGTCCTTCTGAAGCTTTTGAGCGTGTTCTGCGATCTAGGCTCTGAAGGGAAAATGTCCGTCGTATGTGACAACCTGGAACGCGATAGCAATTACCTATCAAACTCCCTGCTAGAATCATAGATGGATCCGCACCCTCGTAGCCCTCTGAGGGGCGCATATGACATGGTGAAACCCGTGGTTCTGTCACAGTGGTTTGGGGACGAAGGTGACACACACCCCTCTAGCTGCTGCTGATGTCGTAGATCTTCAAAAACTCATGGACGTGTCGTATGCCACGTTCATTGTACGTTTACCATTGATACTTAGACAACCAGTACAGTTTTGTAAGTCTCACCATCTGCAACATGAGCGGTCCGTCACCTCAATAATTCTCTCTCCTGCTCCAGGATAGATGCAACGTCGGGAAAGCATGGTGTGATCTTGCATTCAAAAGGGATTGGCCGTCTGCTCAGATATGAACATTGATCAGCAGGATTCGATAACGGGGAGGGTTCCACCTACACAACCAAGCCGTAGTCGACGCATCCATTCAGGTCGAAAGGTAGTAAGTGGCCCTTGTCATCAATTCCCTGCTCGATGTTCAGAGCCCAGAGCATCATCGCGATGTTGATGAACAGCGTATTGTTGGCAAAATGCCTGCCGACGCAGATCCGTGGGCCAAAACCATACGTTACATGGCCTTCCTCCTTCGTGTCGACGGGACCCGGTGCAGCTCGGCCAGAGGAATCGAGATGGCGTGCAGGATTGAAGTGTTCTGCATCTGCGCCATATACTTCGGGGTCACGATTGAGAAACCAGGTGTTTGCAATCACGGTGGATCCTGCCGGGATGAAGTACCTGTCGTACCAATCATCTTCGTTAGAGCTGTGCAGCACGGTTATCCGGTACACCGGCTGCCAACGCAGAATCTCCTTGACCATTGCTCGGACATACGGCAGGTTCTCAATGTCTGAGAAGCGGGGAGGGCGTGACCGACCAACGTTGGCGTCAAGTTCTGCGTGTGCGAGACGTTGTGTTTCTGGATAGACGATCATGGCGAGCATCCACCAAGATAAAGTCGACGCAGTCGTGTCCGTACCAGTGGCACTGTGAGTTGATAGGTGAGTATGATAACGATTCAACTGGCCTTCGGGCGAAAGACGTACTATAGGGCTGCGGACAGCCAGGCATTTTCGCGCTCCGATAATCCATGACGTCGCGACTCTTCTATTAGTGTCGCTGCAAAACTGGGACGAGTATCACCGGCAGCCTATCATGATTGCAGAATAAAATGCGTCATAACATTCCCACAATGATATGCACTTACGCGGCGTTCACGCACAGTGTTGAAGAGTTGTTCGAAACTGACTGAGTCATGAGCAAACCATTTCATGGCCTCACGTTTCCAAGATGCAAATCTAATCCACAGTTCATCAGTTCTCGTCTCGTCACCCATGTCGCGGAATCCCATACCGGCCAGGTATATACTTCATCCAGGGCAAGACCTCTACAAGATGAGTCCCAGGGATGGCGGCGCGTGTAATGCGAAGGACAAATTGGTTCACACTTTTGACCGAAGGATCGTTCTCGGATGTGATGGGCGGTACGTCGTAGACCATAGACATCGAAGCGGGCGCCGACGCACGACTCAGGTGAGCTGCCCAGTTCTGCGGGTGAGTGAGTACCTCGGAGGCCAATATAAGGGCCTCAATGTATTGAATTGCATGATAGTTGACGACAGCGACCTTATTGAGACCTTCATGAGCTGCTTTGCGCAGTCTGCGCCAACTAATCGCATAGATCATGAAGCAGCACAAAATGTATCGGAAAGGAAAACTTACACTGCATTAGCTCCAATGAACACGATGAGAAGAGGACGAAAGGACAAGGATGACGCCCTCAGGGTCTCAAGTGGTGTGAGGAGATAAGGTGGCCAGCCGTCTTGCCGCGATGAATCAACGAAGACAGCGTGGAATACACGCGCCTTCTCTTCTCTTCATGTCCGACAACGTAGGTAACCCGTGACATGTTTTTACGAACCTTGGGTGAAGTTTGAAGCGCCACCAGCATCACCATCGAACGTCTCGTAAATATTCGATAAGCACCTGTCGAACCAAACAGCGACGCACTCTACCATAAGCCTTCTCGTCTTGGTCGAGACTGCTCGAAAACCTAATCTGACAAGTCGGTGCGAGCTTCACAGGACAACTCTGCCAGCATCAGGCACTGAAATCTACGTCGTCGGGATATCGGCAAGAGACCTCATCACCTCGACAGCTCTCGCTCCTGTTCCAAGACGGACACAGCGTCGGCAAACCGCGGAGTGATTTTGCACTGGAATGGGACCGGCCGTCTGTGAGGTGAAGTGTAACTGATATGTAGATCTGAGAATGTGTGAGATACCACGTACATGACCACCCCATCGTTAATGTACCCATCAAGATCCAAGGGTAGTTCATTGCCCTTCTCATCGACTGCTGGCTCGATATTCAAAGCCCATAGAATCATGGCTATGCCGATGAAAAGCGAGTCATTCGCAAAGTGTCTACCGAGACAGATCCGCGAGCCGAACCCAAATGCGACTTGTCCTTCTTTTGAGACGATCGAGCTGGACGCTAGCTGGCCGTGGGCATCGAGATGGCGTGAGGGATTGAATTGGGCTGCATCTTCACCATAGACTTCCGGATTGCGGCAGAGATGCCA